AGTGCTCTGGCCGCATGATTTTATACTTGTCTCCCATTTGTCTCCCATTTGTTTCCCACTTGTCTCCCAGTAAGCTCTGGACGCTCTGAGTGCCCTGGCCGCATGATTTCATACTTGTCTCCCACATGTCTTAGCCCTATGTCACAACCTGGATCCATAAATTTCATGTTTTAGCCCTTCTACGGCGTCCCATTGTAAAGTCAATGAAAAGCAGAATTTTAATGCTTTCCCTTTGAATCTTGTATGTGCGTCTACATGGTGGACTATAGTTTTCTTCCTCTAGGAAATACTGCTGGCCATATTGTTGATCTCATTTTTGAACATTGCTCTGTTTGGGGTCTACGCTGGTATAATTGTATACCACACAAGACGTGTGGTGGTACATTCTATTCCCACCCCTCTCCAGATAGGAGGTAAGCCACCCAATTTTCCGCCTTGTAGGGTGAATCCTACAGCCCAAAACCCTAAAACCTTAACAGCAAAAGCCTAAAATCTCGAAGCTTCAAAACTTTAACAGCAAAAGCCTAAAACCACCTAACTCTTCAACGCGAGCGTAGAAAACTAGAATTTGACAGCCTCAATTTTTTGGTCGATTTCATTATTAAACGTATTGTTGGTTTTAGGCTTTGCGGCCAAATCGTGGCCCAGACAACGTCGTTCCCAACCTTGCCCTTAATCCCAAAGCCAAACCTTTGACTAATACTTTTGCCTCACAGAGCCCCAGGCACACGCTTGCGACGGGCGGACGGCCGGCGCTTCGCTCGCTCCCTCTCGCTCGCGCCGCCCCTCCGCCGTCGGTCGTCGCCGCTTCGCCACTCCGCTCCAGGTCCAGATGAGCCGGTAACTGAAAGAAAGAGGTTGTAGGGCCAGGCCTGAACCCTAAAAGGTTATGGTTTGGGTGGAGCGCCAGCGGGGGTGGGATTTGTCCGCGGACGCGTGCGAGCGTGTGAATGGTAAGGGGGGCGTGAAGGCAGGTTGGATAGACCCCCCCCGTGAACGCACGCGCGCACTTGACCATCGACACCCTAAACCCTAAAACCCTAAACCTTTCTGGCGTTTCTGCTCCGGCGAAACCGCTGTCTTGCTGCCAGTCTTTATACTTACGCGAAGCCTCTGGTCAAATTGGATGGCCTCCAATGCAACATTCGAGTGTTCAATATAATGCGTCCATCGCCAAGAACTCAACGAATACATATATCATATATATCTATATATATACACATACAACTACAATCGATATCTCTGCCGCCTCAAGCTTGGTGAATTAAGACGGGCCAAAAACACGCGTGCTTAATTTAATTATAAGCCTATTAGCCGTATTACGCCGCCCGCTCCCGGGAATTCCCGATGTTGTTCTTTCAGCATATGGTTGGTTTCCAAAATGTCTTCCCCAAAATGGTGCACTCATCGCAAATCCATGGGTGTCCGCTTCTAAGTCTCCGTCGGCTTCTTTATTATCCTATCAGATTCAGATGCTTATTTTTCCTGCTTATTTATCTTCTTCTTGTTGCGCATTCTTCTTCTTCTCCTTCTTCTTCTTGTTCATTCTTCCTTCTTCTGGTCTTGTGTCTTCTTTTTTCCTGCTCTTCGTTTGTTTCTTATTTTTCCTGCTTGCGTATCCTGTTATGAAGAATCCTAGCACCAATCTAGCGCTGCCTTACTGTATCACCGTAGTCTGCCAATCAGCTGCTTATTTTTCCTGCTTGCTTGTCTTCTTCTTGTTATGCATTATTCTTCTTCTTCTCCTTCTTTGTTCTTCGTTTTTCTGGTCTTGTATCTTCTTTTTTCCTTCTCTCTGCTCTCTGCTTGTTTCTTCTTTTTCATACTTGCTTATCCTGATATGAAGAAACCTAGCGCCAATCTAGCGCTACCTTGCTATGTCACCATAGTCTGCTGGGGGGCCCGCTTCTAAACGGAGATCTTGCACTTCTATTAGCTTCTTATAAATTAATTCTTACTATCACTTGCTACTTAATGCCTGGACCACATTCATCAACAGAACCTCAGATTCTGTGATTCCCTGAGCAGCTCAGCTCAGCCAACTGATTTAATAGATGTGTTGACAAGTTATCTTTTCTCATTTTCTTCTTTGCGCCTTCTCTTTCCTGTTCCTTCTCTTATGTGTCATTATGTTTTTGGATTCTCATTTCATGGAAACAGGAGACATAGAGAATATGCATTTAGCCTCATTACAATCAACTGAACCTGGTCCATATGAGTTCATAGAGAGGTATGTATGACCTGCAAAAGTTTGAAGCCTGGTTTGTGCTTTATACACCTGGATACCGTGAACCTGGGTTCTGATTTCGTGTAGAATGTACAATGTAGTTTAATGTTAATCAGCTGAAACTGGTCCACATTCCCACCTTGTGTTCCGCCATGGCGTTTGCGACCCTAAGTTTAGTACTTCATTAAGATTCCACTGCCTTCATTTCATGAGCATTGTTCATCTTGCTTGATTCCCGTTCTTTTTGAACTTTTTTGACTCAGCGTGTAAAAATGAATTTCACAGACTTACACCAAACACCTGACTTTTTTAAAAGAAACCCTAGTGGCACCCAGGCGTCTGAACACCCTATAGAACAGTAATATTTAATTTCATTCGCGAAATTTGTCATACTTTTCCCCCTCCTTGCTTAACCCTGTCAAAGGCACACCAAACTTTATCAACTTCTTTTCCACGAATTTTCAATATATATTCCTCCAGTTTTCTTTTCAAGTTTCTCTCAGGAAAGCCGGTTCAAAATCAAGCGCTTACCTTTTCTCACGATGCATGGTTGGATTCGTGGCTGCGCTTGGGCGTATACATTGCCCGAGTGAAACGTATCTTGAACAGCTTCTTGGCTCACTGTTTCTTCACCCGCTGTGTGCACAACCTGCTGGACAAGAGTGTCAACGCAGTGTCAAGTCTCATATCTTGTGAGTGATGCACGGTCATGCCACAACGACATCCACTCTACATTTACTCCAAAGATGGAATTCGGTGAAACTATTGGGAACCCTTGCTCTCAATTGGTTTCACCTCAGCCACAGAAAGGCAAGACAAGTGGAACGCTATAGCTGAGAAAAGCGCTCACGCTGATGGCAATGTGAAGCCATAGCAATCTGTCCTTAAAACTCGAGGGAAAAACACAAACTTGAAGTGTGGTCAAAACAGCTATTTCTTGACCCAAACTCAGAGGCGGCAAAAAAACACAAAAATACATCATAAGGTCGTAACATTGACATCAGTTTGAAGCCCTGCATGGTTAAAGGCTGCTCAAAACAAACACCAAGTGCCAGGCTTAGACGTGCCGCGATTGACAGATGCTTCTTCATCTTCCCTAATCCAACTTCCATCCTGCAAATCCGCGATGGGCAAACCACAATGCTGCAAAGGCAAGTTGAGACGGTGGTGTGCAAGGGGTTGGGTGAGGTGTTGTGAAAGAAACAATTGGACAAATTCACCTGACCAGCGATTGACAAAAGAGTGAAAAGTGAAAAGTGAGCAAAGACATTGCAACGCAAAGCGCTGAGCCGAGTGAACAAAAGCTGAGAAATTGAAGCTAATACAACTAGCAAACGAGTTAGTGGCATAAACAGCGGCTCGTCCTGTTGGCTAAAAATATCAATTTGGAAGGCGTCGCATTGGACTGTGGCTGGATTTTCGGTCTTAATGGCCTCAAGGCAAAACGACAATAACCACCATGCACTTGCACACGCGTTGAAGAAAACACGTTCTGGCTTGCATCGCTGCCTGCTTTGTTTGTCTTCTTCATTCAGCGTTCACCAAGGCACAGCATCAAGTTTGATTGAACAACAACAAGTTCTGAGCTCTGGACTTTCTTCAAATAGGCAATATTGGAGGGCACTGGGTCAATTGGGAAAGCGTTGCCAATCTGCTCGAATGTATCACCGTCCTGCAATTGCAACAGGGGGTGGGCGACAGCCAATGGCTGCGCCTTTCGATAAGCAAGTGCAAAAGAACAATGCGCATGACAAGGAATGCAATGCATTACGCAAGAATTTTGACCTTGGGATGTGAAAATGGCTGAGGGAAATTTCTTCATGAAGTTTCAGCTGAACAAACCACTTCTGTTCTTGACCTACCACTAGTCAAAGGCTTGAAAAGGAACAAAGGCATAAACTGCTGCATTGACTTTTGCAAATTACAAGCCTTTGATGCTTGAGTGGGAGAACTGACGGAGCACAACCCTACTTTTATTCACACGACCAATCAACACCGGTTTTCGCACAGGAACTTTGCAAAGGAAGAAACAAAACGAACATAGGGATGTAAAAACAAGGTTGCTTGTTCAACAGATGCAACTTTCAACTGTCAACGTCTGTTGAGGTGGTACTCTTTTGGTTTTTCGTCAAAAAGTTCTTCCTACACCTGTCAAAAGGGCATAGCAAAGGAACAAGGGCATGGCAAAACATCATACAAAGTCTTAGACTAAATCCTCTCTATCAAATTGAGGAAGATGTTGAGAACATATCATTCAACAAATCCTGAGGAATAAAAACGCTACTGCTAGTATTTTATGCATAAAGCATTTACTTGCCTGAAAAGAACAAGGCAAAGGAACTAGCAAAAGGCAAAGAAACCATATGTTGCGTCTAAGTCCTTTCGAAGTTGAAAATGAAGACATCCAAATAAACAACCATGCAATCGCCCCAACCGTGCTGAAACAAACCACTTGTATTTTAACCTGACACTAGTCAGAGGAACTTCGATGGGAACAATGGCATAAACTGTTGCAGTGGCTCTTGCGCATAACAATGATTTTGACGCTCGAGTGGGAGAACTGGTGGAGCACAACCCTACTTTATTCACACGACCAATCAACATTGCTTTTAGCACACGAGCCGTGCAAATCAACACATGAAAGGAACTAGGGATGACAAGGCTGCTTGTTCAACACTTGCTGTACCACTCAAAGGGCGAGATGTTGAGGTGGGAACAATCAAAAGGACATAGCACAGGAACAAGGGCATACAAAGTCTGTAGTCTAAATCCTCTCTGTCGATTGAAGGAAGATTATCAAAATACATGCTTGACAAATCCAAAGGAATGAACAACCCTGCAATCTTCTTACTGTTACTAGTAGTAAGGCACCTGTTACTACTAGCGTGGCACCTGTTACTACT